CAACCTGGTCTAGTGGAAGGTGTCCCTGCCCGTGGCAGGGGGGTTGGAACTAGATCATCTTTAAGGTCCCTTCCAACCCAAACCATCCCATGGTTCCATGAATGGCAGGATATAAATTTGTCATTGAAATGCTACTTCAGTTAAAAGTCAAGACAAGAAATAGCCGTTCCTTTTTAATATTCACTTGCCTGCAGCATTTTAATTGTGGAGTCACGTAGAAAAGAGGGATATAAGCAATTACTTACATTGCTACACATTTCTGTCTGTTTGGAAGCTAAAAGACTTCAGACATGTGGAGATGACACATCATCACTGCTTGTAGGGTATGCCCTGCACTCTGCTCTGAACACTAAGGCTGCATTTGCCTTCAGATTAGGATAAACAATATGTTTCATGACAGCTTATTTGAAGCTCCACAAAGCTATCTGTATCAAAAGAACAACGCAGGGCAGATTTCAATGGAAATTTAAAAAAAAAAAAAAGTGTCTACAGTGAAAACAACCAACACAAACAGCAGTACCAAAGCTTTGTTTAGACTAGGGGAAATCACTGACAAAAGAGCTGTAAGGGTGGGATACCGAAAGGTATGTTTTCATCAGAAGAGCACTGCTCTTGTTACAAAACAACCTGAGTACTCGTAACCATATGAAGTGCTGATGCTCTGTAGCGAGTAACTAAACCAAGAACAGATTCATTTCTTTTAACTACAGACATACCATCACCACACCTGCTCACTGAGAGAAGAGAAAGATATTTACTATTAATAAAAATAACACTGGAGGGGGACACATGACTTTTTTTTCTTCTTCTTTCCTACAGATACACACAAGCAGCTCTCTGTTTAGACTATGAGAAAGCTAACTTTTCTCACACATAGATTTCCATCAATATAATATATAGGTATTCACATTATAATGTTACTTTCTCATGAATTTGTTTTGTTGCTCCATTCTCAAAAGTCATTGAACTCACGGGACACTTTAGTAGTCAATATAGTATAGTATCGCACAGGGAATGCACGCCTGGAGAAAGACCTGAATACATGCAATGAGTGCAGTAACATGAGTAACATTACACACCTGGTCTTTCATTTCAACCTAGTTCTGGCAAGAAACTAATATATATTCACCAACACAAATGTTCATCAAAGCCACAAAAGCAATTTAATGCTTACATGTATGCTGACAATATGATGTCAGAGCTGTGAGTAACCTGACAAAGGAGGCTGTAGGTCGATCAGAAGTGCAAGCTGGTCCAAACGTACATAGCCTCTTCACCAACACTAAGCCCATTCTCAGCCTGGCCTCTCTGATTCAGGCTGCTACACTCAGTATTGAAAGTAAATACACAGGAGCAATGGAAAACAACTTTCCTCCTGGCCATGTTGGTGAGGGAAGGCGTTTAACTGAAAGAGACTAAAATCAGCCTGTGACATAACAGACATGTTCTTCCTCTTAAGATGGATTGGTAAGACATGGAATTTACTGTAAGGTGACTTTGCCATGCTGAGATAATGCCTTAATGCTTTTGTCTACAAGACAAAATGAAAGCCCTAGCTTTGGTCACTATGTTAAATAAGGGGGGCAAATTGTATGTTAAATAAAAAGCTATCCTAAATTCCTTGCAAATTACAAGGTTTAGGTCAGCTCTAAAAGGAATTTACGTCAGCTGGAAGAAGGCATCTATGTGAAAGACTAATAATAATGAAAACCAACCTCTTGAAAACATAGAAGTAATGCTTGTTGAATTTATCATCACCTGCAAGACTGGTTATGTTAATAATCCTCCACATTATGCCAAGTAGACTGAAAGTAATTAATAGTTCACAAGCAACCTTCTCACAGAAGTTTCAGTGCCAATGTTGTTTTGACTGATCACAATAAATAAAAAAGTATATCAGAGAAACTTCCATGAAAAATAATAATAAACCCATCTCTCAGAGCATTACCCTGCCAAGGGTAATTGAGTTCCAGGACCTCAGTGTCACTGGGCAATTTCGGTCTCACTGTTCACAACTCTATAAAGTCCATTCTGTGCATGAAATGGAGAAGCTCGATCGATGTACACACAGAAGGGTCCCAGCACTGAGCTGTCACAAATGTTCAGGAGTCAGAGGGTGAGAACCAGGGTATTGTAACGCCTTCAAAAAATCAGAGCTTATCTGATGTGACATTTAAGGGGTGCTCATTAAATCCTGAAGGGTATCCGTCTCACCATGCAAGCTCTTTCCTCCTCTTGTCTGAAACAGCTGTGAAACAATGGTCAATTGGTAACACATCTCAAGCCAGCAGTAAGGAATGTCTGCAAGGACACAGGACTGTGAGAGGGGATGAAGCGGAAGAGAAGGAAACGGAGAATAAAGCAAAAGATGGAAGTGCGGAAGGTCAGAAGGCTGCTTATACATTTACAATATCTCTAAAATAAAGTCCCACCCCAGAGAGATGCAGGTGGCAAACTGATCTCATTAGAGAAACCACAATGGTTCGGAGACAAGGTTAATTTTTTGCCAAGGATCCTGTTTCCAGAACTGCTCACACCCAGATGTTGCAGAGCAAGGTTCCCAGCCACCTGTTTGACAGACTAAAATGTGATTCCTGCAGGACAGGCCAGAAATGTTTTGCTAAAATTCACCACCAACTTAGAGAAATATTATGCAAGGCAGAAAATAAGATCTGCTATTCGGAAGACAAGATCCACAGGCATAAAGTTCAGAACATGCTCATGACATTTTTCCCTGGAAACAGCACTTGGTACAGCACACCACATCCCAGCAGAGCTCCCAGATCCTAAAAACTTTCATACATGCCTCAAAAGTGTGGAAAATAAACCTGGCTACTCACTGCTCTCTTAGCCCAGGAACTAGGCAACTAGCCTACAAATAGTACAAAATCCACCGAGGCACAAAGGGACCAGTATTACCACACACACCACACAGGCTTTTGGAGCAAAGCGTAAAGATTTATACAGGC